TATACAAACACACTGATGCAGACTTTCATACAGCAAGCGATTCTTCCAAGACCCCAGAGTAGGAAGAGACTACATCTGTTTTTACAAAGAGATCCTTTATTAAACCTGGAGAAAAGTTAAAGTGGCTGCTTTCTGGTTCTGGCAGAAAGACAGCAACAAATGACCTTGCAGCTATAAATTTTAAAAAGAGAAAAAGGATGGAGGGGTCTCAGATGTGGCTGATAAGCAAATGATGCTTGGCAAGGGTAAAGGTAGAAACCTTGTGTTAGGATAAAGTGTTCAATTTTAACTGGCCATGTTAATTAGTTGAACAAAAGGGGGCTTTTGATTGCTTGTCTTCAATACTTCCATAGCTGACACTTGGTAATCAGTCTCAGGAAGAGGAAGTTGCCAAATAAGGGAATAGACCTTGGTAGCTAGATTTAGAAACACACACACACACACACACACACACACACACACACACACACACACACACACACACGGCATATGGAATTAGGGAGAAGGGCAAAGCCTGTCAAAGCCACATGTTCAAGTAGGCCATTGTCCCTTCACGTGTGGTTTACTTTTCCACATGATTGGGCCTAATACTATGGTGGTAGGTCATCAAGGTCTGGAAACAAAATGGGAGAGATAGACAGTATAAACTCCCAGGGTATGCCTTCAGTGATTTAATTCTTTTTGACAGAGGCTACAGCCCAGTCTTTCCACAACTTCCATAACACCACCAAGTACAAAACAAGCATTCAATATGTGAGCTAGTGGGGGCATGTCTATTTTCAACTTGTTGCCTATCTACAATTATGGTTATGGTTTTATGTGTTGGACTTTGACATGTGGATGGGGGAGCAGAATTCAGTCCTCAACAATAAAGTAGCTGTTATAATTTGAGTCTGAACTGTCCTGTGTAGGGCCATGTGTTGATTGCTTCATCCACACCTGGTAATGCTATTTTAGGAAGCTGGAATTTGGAGGACATGTACTTAATTCAGTGTGAGCCTTTGAAGGTTGACAGGGGTGGACTTGTGATGGTCAATTTTGAGTTAAAAAAGTTAGATGGGTCTGAGATCAATTAACAGACAACATTCTGGGTAAACCCATAAGGGACTTTATTGATCTGGTTATTTGGAGTGCAAGACCCAGCCTAAATGTAGATGGTACCTTCCAGTGGCAGCCCTAAGAAAGGGATAGCTTTTCCTAGAATGATGGGTTCTGATTTTGGCCAACTTGCCTTTGCTTTTGCCGGCAAGATTGTCTATTCCATGGTTGCTGCATTCAGTGACTTTGTAACCTATTTTCTCCTGGTTTTAAACAGACTGGAGACCAGGAGATTTCCAGAAATTCTGTTTCTCAAATGCCATAGTGAGACAACCAGCCTCAAAAACTGGGCAGCTTCCAAAGTCTCATCTCCTTCCAAGTGAAAATAGACATTTCTAGACTACTTAACCCAAAGCATGCAAAACGATGTTACAACATGTCCTTCTAATATATACCCATCATGTCTTTATGTTCCTCTAGAGAACCCTAACACAGTCTCTGAGAAATCGAGTAAAATGATGGGTGAAGTACATATTCTGAAACACAAAGTTCAGCAGGTTGTTAGGTCTCCTCACTGATTGGTGAAGTAAAAGCCAAGTTATATGAGATTAGTAATCGCTGAAAAATGAGTCATTAGGTATGTGCTCAAATGTAGTAAAGAAATTTTCTAGGGTCCTCTGACTTCCACTGCTGTCTGAATATCCCTGATAATGGAAGCCATATAGTGCTTTAGACATGAATAGACACATAGGAACTCACATGGGGCCAAAGATGTCCAGAAACAATGGCTCTTTCTTTAAAGTTTGCCATCACATTAAATTTTCTTCGTGTGTATTGAATATAGTATACGAAGTGTAAAAATTGTAAATTATATATGTATACACACACAACACACACATATAAGGTGTATGTGTATACTTGAATGCATGAATTTGCACCATATTGGTGTAGGAACCTGAAATGATCAGAAGAGGGCATCAGATATCATTGAGCTGTGAGAACCACCTAGGTTCCAAGTCCTAGTGGGTCCTCTGGACCCTCAGAGCATCTGCAAGACGCGTCCTGCTCTGTTTTCACTAATTGTTTCAAGCTATTCGCCACACAGTGTCCTTTATTTGCAGGGGGAACTTTCTCCGGAATCACATCCCGTTGGTTTCATGTACTTCAACTTCTTCTAATAAGGTGCCTCTGTGTACTCAGTGTATTTCCAATTTCGTTTTCTCAAAGGAGTTTATCGTAAATTGTTTGTGTTTGGTGATGCCCGAACTGACACTTTCACATTTTTATCAAACATGGGCATGGGTCATTTTCCTAGTCATCCTGAAACACTAACTCACTAAGACTTCTTTCTTTCCGTACCCCTGGAGCACAAAAGAGGGCAGGGTGCTGCCATCCATCCCCTTCCCCGACACCGGAACCTCTGAGGCCTTCTTCGGCCACCGTATCACACAGGGGCGGGTGTTCATTGGCGGGAGTGGGTGGTTCTGCAAGGATTGATGTATTCTGTAAATCCGGTCTGTGAGCCCTCCAGCTTTTCAAATACCTGGGAGTGGCGGAGCTTGCAGGAGTGGCAGAGCGCGCCAGAGCTCTTTTGTTAGGCGAGTGCAGTTCCCTGCGAGCATAGTTGAGGTGCTGTTCTTTTGTTGGGAGCTCTGAGGAATCCGTAATGAGGTACCCTTGACCCCAGTCCTTGTGCAGAATGGGACTGTAGTTGAAGGTGTCTGAAGACCAAGCACTGACTGCTGAGCTCAATTTTGGAATCTGGGCTTTTTCCTACGTAGGAGCCGGTGGGTGTCAGCTAAGGCGATACAAGGATAGAACTTTATCTTCCGTTTAAGCTTTGAGGGTTGTAAAGGCACGTCTGGTGTGGAGCTGGGGCCTGGTGCTGGAGTGTGTGTGTGTGTGTGTGTGTGTGTGTGTGTGTGTGTGTGTGTGTGTGTGTGTGTGTGTGTTTTGGGGGAGGGGGCAACTGTGGAGTACCTGTAAACCAAATTGGCATAGAGCTCACCAAACCTATGGGTGCTGGAATTAAAGGTTTACTCCACCAAATAACAAAGGAAGTTTGCAAGCATCCATGTGCGGGTTCATTGTGTTGCCTAAGTAACTTTTGCCTTCTTTTAGAATACTTCAATTAAACTTGTGTTACTAGGAGTCATAATTTAGATGGAGTAGGAGTAGTGTAAAAACAATTTCCTTTCCTATTTATTTCGTGAAACCAGTGTAAAATTATATAATGTTTGAGCTGGTGACATGAGTGTTTTTATTTGTATTGCCATACATTTGGATAGAACTAGAATGAGTAAACATGTAGAGATCATGTTTATAAACATTTTATTATGTACTCATGCAACTCATCAATAGGTTTGTTTTTGAGCTTCAGCCTAAAACATGTTCGTTTATCCTGATGGATTATTTTCCAATCCCAGAAGATAGCACACTTTTGCCAATATTTCACTTTGAGAAATTCTTAGAAAAGCACTTTTGAATTATTAGGGATACCAGTTTCTTAAAATAGCATCCTTTATTTTTGAAAAGTTTGTTACTTTTGTACACTAGATACTGACCATCCACTGCTAATTCTCTTCAGATGCCCTTCTTGTTCCCTATCTCATCTTCCTCTACTGCTGGGCACCTATAGTGACTGTTTTCAATGGAATATTAATTAGTTACCAAATGTTCTGTTCTTTTATAAAATTAAAGAATATTTCTTTAAAATATGTATACCTGCCCTCGGCAGGATGACTTGTGAAGGTCAGAGGGCATCTTGTGTGATTAGTTCTCTGCTTCTAATACGTGGGTCCTGGGGATTGAATTTATGTCACCAAGCTTGGTGGCAAGTGAGTTTACCCTGAAAAACTTTGTCCTTTAACTGACTTTACCTGTATGTGACCTGTATGTTCTTTACAGTGTTTAGTTAGGTTCGCAACTTTCTCTTTCTGATCTTCTAATTATATCTCAGTTCTCTATCTTTCTCACTGCCTTCCTTCTCTCCCATGTTCCACTACTGTAAGGATTCAGGCAATATACTGGCCTGCCCCTGTCACCTGGCAGAATGCACTCAGGCAGTACTCTGTCCAGCTCAGGGCAGGTGTAAAGGACCTCTTTAAAAGACAGACTCCCACGCACTTAAGCTTTTTTTTTTTTTTTTTTTCTCTCTCTCTTCTGTTCCTGGAGTCTCTACATCTCTTTTCTTTTTTTCTCCCCCCTCACTCCCTTTTTAAATAAACTTCTCACTCAAGCTCTGTCTGCCTGGCGTGTTATTCCCTCTGTCTCACTCACCCTCGCCTGCTATGGAACCTGCTATGCTCTCCCACATGGTCCTTTACTTTGGGACCTCAATACAGGACACCCATCTCTTCTCCAGCTTTTTCTTATAACAGTAACAAAAGAACAATTACTAAATCTATATATCTTTATGTCTGTCTGTCTATCTATCTATCATCTATCTCTCAATGTATTCCAAACTCTACTCAAAAGCATGATCTTCCTGCCTTTTAGCCTTCTGCTGCTTAGGTTATGGATGTGTACTACATTAGGGATACACACACACACACACACACGTTTATTGACCAATGTATGAAATTCTCAAAAATGGTCATGTTATTGCTCATGCCAGAGATTAGAAATAATAAATTTGTCCTTGTTATGATAATTAGTAGTTTTATATGCTTCTGTCACTATGTAGATAACAACATATATTTTTATGTGTATGGGTGTTTTGCTTGCATGTATGTTTGTGTACCACAGTGCTTGATGCTTATGCAGGCCAGAAGAGGATATCAGATGCCCTGTAACTAGATTTGCAGAGAAATGTACAGCAACATGATATCATTAGCATATAATGACAATGCTCTACTTGTAGTAATATATTCTGTATATATTACTGTATACATAACCAGGAAAAAGAGAGATCAGGTGACACAAGGAATAGGAGATCGTGGGGATACTCTCAGCTAGATTGGAGCTGATCCGGGTGTGACTAAGGCAGAACACTCCAATCAATGGCCATCTTCTCAAGTCAGAAGAAAATGATGCAGGCCCAGGTAACTTGTGACTTTTCTTTATTCTCCAAAAAATTTGCAGAAGCATATGAAAATCATAAAAACACAAATTGTAAATGGTTATCTGGAGAAATCTGAGCAGGGATATAATATTCATAGGATTCCAGACTATTGGTTCATGTTGGATGTGATATGGTTTGCATTACTTTTCCTGGAGAATGTAAACAATCATCAGTTCATCCAAGATAGGCACCAGTCACAAACCAAAGATAACATTCTGTCCATTTCTATGTGGTGAACCAGAGACCTTGTCAGACTTACGTATGGGAACATGTATAAGGTGTTACTTATGAGTATTGTGGGCCACAAAGAGCCCCACTTGCAAGCTACACATGTAGACACCCCTTGCATTCTGCTAACCATTCACTCTCTTGTGAGGATCTCCCACATATAAATAGTCCTACTTTTATTTCGTAATATTAACAGTCACAGGAAAAGCTCAGAGGAGAGCATTCCACAGCAATATCTAACTCCACAGGTCTCCAGGTTCTGCTAGTTGTCATTTTAAATCTGATGTCTGTGGCAGCCATGAAAAAATATTGTGAATAGATACATGACCTGATGGAGAGCAGCCACCTCCTCAAAGACTGTTAGTATTTCATGGCACCTTGGTTTGAGGCTCACATAGGTCTTTCATGGTTCTTTGGTTATGAGCTTTGGGTGTTTATGAGGTCAGGCTTCTCATGGTGGCAAAGCCAGTTTTCCTACCATTGTTTCTTTATTATAACTTGGGTAATTATGCACACGTGCAATATATTTTTGATCATATACACATCATGAACCTTTTAGAATAAGTTTTGCTCTATCTTATAGTGCTGTTTGCTTTATGCCTCAGTTTTTTGTTTGAATATGTTATTGATGTTATATACACTGTTCTTTGTTGCTACTATCTGTGCTGTCTTCATTAGTTACTTGAATATTGGTACAGAGGATCATGGTATACTTAAAAACTCTGTACTATTCAGGAGTTAAATTATGGTATATACCTATATTCCCAACACTCTGGGATTGGGACTTTAAAGCCATCCTTAGTTACATGATGAGATTACTGAACAAAACCAATCAATCAACAACAACAGAAAGTGTCCAACAAAAATAAAACAAAACAGTATCTGAGTTGTTTGGGATTCACCAAACAAAAAGTAAACACACTGACAAATCTTTATTATTTATATAGTTAGAAGCACACCATACACTTTAATATTGGCAAACACATGTTCATTTGTGGACATATACACACACAGAGCAGATATTCCTACATTGTAAGAGACATCATGTTAACTATTACATAAACCACTTTGAAGGTTCCACTTTGTTGAATAAGTATTTATATGAGTTGAGAATACTTTATGAAAATTCTCCTTTATTGCGGTTTAATAAGGATCAGGATAAACAGATAGGCCAAATAGATGTTTATTCAGGGAGAAATAACTTACAACATAGACAAAGGACTACCAGCAGGTTCAACCAGATGCTCTCCTCTCCCTGCCCAGGCAGCAAGAGAGCTTTCCTCCTGCTCCTCCTCAGACCTAGTTCCACAGGTCCCTTCCGCCCCTGGCTCCACCCCAATGGGCGTGGTCAGTGCCACAGAAGAAGACAAAGTGAATATCCTACTACACTCCTTCTCTACTAACAAAACAACCACCATATCTTCCTTTAAATTATTCCCACATCACCAAAGGAATATCCCTTGGTTAATAGGATGGTGTTGTTACAGGAATCCCTGACCTTGAGTGATGTGGCTGTGGTATTCTCCTGGGAGGAGTGGCAGCTTCTGAACCATGCTCAGAAGGACCTGTACTGGGATGTCATGCTGGAGGTCTGCAGGAGTCTGGCATCAATGGGTAAGGGTGACTGTCTTGAGGTATTTGGAGGATACCCATCCAATAGCTTTTTCTGTTTCTCGGCTTCTAAACTCTTAACTTGTAGATTTTTCAGACCCCTTTATACCCATGGAAGAGGAAAGTCTCTACTCTTCTGCAAGAGAAGTCTGAAGTTACAGATGGGAATCCTGTTTAGTCTCTGAAACAGAACATTATGGTTTTTTTTTTTTTTTTTTTTTGGACATATTCTTGCTGTGATTCAAGACAACATTAAGGAGAAAGGGTTCATTTTGGCTTTCAATTCCAGAATGTTGCAGTCCATTTTAGTGTGGAAGGCATGGCCGCAGTCAGTGAAGGGGTTGGGTTGGAGTCAGAGCATTCCTGGTCACCTTATAATCCACACTCAGGATACAGAGGCCTCACAGGAAGTGGTAACAGATTATGAAGCTTCATTGTCAACCTCTGGTGATCTACTTTCTCTACTGAAGCTTTGCCTGCTAAAAGTTATTCCTGCCTTTCCCAAATATTATCGTCAGCTGGGATCCAGTATTCAAATCATGAGACAATGGGTTGCATTTCAGATTCAAACCGCAGTACCAATCCACTTTGATTTATCTAAGTCTTCTGTCATTTTCCATGAGCAGGATATCCATCCAGAAAATCAGATGTATGTTCCAAATTGGACCCAGGAGAACCATGGACAATAGCAGATGAAGATGAAATCCACAATCTAATCTGTCCAGGTGAGTGAGGGCCAGCAGAATCTTGTTCTGAATACACTGTGGGCATTAAAGCTACAGGTGGTCTGAAGACACAAAAGTAACCTCTCTGCTGGTTTGAGGATATAGAGTGTACATTTCCATGTCTCTCCTTGACCATGTCAGAGCTCTTTTTCTAGTTGGAATGTGAAGGATACATATCCGTGTTTTCTCTTAGATCTCATTTGTACTCTATACACATCATAGTTTTGTTTTGTTATTTATATTCTTCCTAAGAATTGCAATTCATGTTTATCTACTTCACTGTGTCTCTGTCCATGTTCTCTTCCCCCTTGCTGTGAAATTCTTTTTTTTCCTGGGCCCTGGGAAAAAGTACAGACACCACTGTGGTTCCATCACCTTCTTCTTGATGTCAACAGCTGTCTGTTGTACTAGGGAATAATGATCAGTATTTAGACAGGTGTATGTTGTGTCCCTTGTAATTTCTTGGTCGTTTGCTGAGCATTTATGTCTCTTTAGCGTTATGTATTTTAGTCAAAGTTTATTTTTATGATCACAGCACAACTTTATAAAGTTAGTTTTCTCTTTCCACCTTTACATCAGTTCTGATGATTGTCCAGACACACTGTTGGGTTTCAGTTACTTTTACCCACTATCTTGTTTTGAATAAGGATGTCCCCTATAGGCTCAGATAGTCAGTTGGTGTCACTGTTTGGTAAATTTAGAAGGTGCTGCTATATTGAAGGAACTATGTCATTGGGGGTTTCACCCAGTAATTATCTGAATGAGATGTTTATTGACTACCATGCTGATTAAGACAGTTAACTGTTTTAAATCATTTCCATGGATGACCAGACCAAAAGCTGACTTGAGTCTCTAAAAAGTCTCTTAGTGCCCAAATACATGGATACCGATGTTTTAAAGGCAAACAATGATACATCAAAGTTTGATGAGTTTCATAGTAATCTTGAAATGTTCATTCCTAGCAGAGCATAGTAGTTGTTTTAGACATAACTAAGGTCAAAGCAATGCAAATTTCAAATGTGTTGCAAAGGTAAGTGTCTGTTTCTGCGAGGGTCTAAAAGGCTGAGAACTATCTAAGAAAACACAAAAGGGAGTCAGAACAGAGTAGCATTACCTTAGTCAATTCAAAACCTTGGTTTGACTGTTTAACTCATCTGTTCTGAAATTACCTTGAATATACCTTTATGCTTAGCTCTCTTCTTTTTTGTTTTTGTTTTTTATGTTTGTTCGGCAAAGTCCCTGTATAGCTCAGTCTTGCCTCAAACTTAGTTTTATTAAGTCAGCCCCCTCAGTGCAGGAATTAGAAGGATGCATCATCATAATTTGTCTTGATCTCACTTTTTAAAGTTTTCTACATTTTTCTTTTAATTAGAGAAGATTAATAATTCCTTACATTACTAGTCCAAAGCAGGTAAGAACATATACTTCTGGGAAAATTTACTTTCTTCATAGTTTTGCAAACTGTCAAGATTTTTTTATGGTTCATCTTAAGTGTTGCTACTCTCTTCATGTCCATAAATGTATTTTTATTTCCTTTTTGCATATTGATTTTCTTTTCACTACATTGTTTAGCTATAGTTCATATGACATGAGTCACTCCTTTAAAACGAACAGTTCATTTGGCTTTTTTTAGTATGATCACTTACTTATATAATTATCATCTAATTATATGTTTAATTCTAAAAGATTTTCAATACACAAATACATATTTTGAAAGATGTTATTTTTAAATTTTGGGGTTTTTTTTGTATGATTATTTTGCCTGCATGTATGTGTGTATGTGCACCATGTAATTATCCGCCGCCCATAAGACATAGAAGAAGATATTAGATACCTTAGAATTGTATTTACAGATGGTGCTTAGCTGTCATGTGGGAGCTGAGACCTGATTCCAGGTCCTCTGCAAATGGAACACATTCTTAACCATGGAAGAACTTTCCAGCACACTCCCCCCTCCCATTTTTTTTCCCTTTAGATTTTATGACTAATGTACTTTCAGGTGATTCGGTGGTAGAATATGGAAGCACACTGTTGTACAATTGTATTCTGGTGATACCTTTTCCCAGGTAATTATATTCCCTGTCAGGAGATTGATGGGTTTTTATCTTTGATATCTGTAGGGTGGCATCTTTTTCATGAAAGTCTTTGGCTTTTTTTCCTCACAGAAACAGGTTAATGTGTTCCACAAGTATCGTTGACTCAATACACTGCCTTAAAACTTATATTTTAATGATATATTTAAACAACACAATGCAAAAAAGAAAATAAAATAACACTTATGGGTTCTCTTTACATTGCCTACAAAAATAAATGTATAAATAATGTCTCATGCTAAAATGTACTAGGAAATTAAAGCATCAGAAACAATAGGTTTGAGATTTGTTGGGGTATCTTAAAGGTGGGAATGAAACCATGATAAAGTGCCTTTCCACAATGGAAAATTGAAATAGGTAGCTCCACTCTGTGACACAAAGGCATGTCTGGCTGGAATATAGTAAACAAAATAAAAGTGATTACTCATATGGGTAGTATGAGGTAGTAGCCAAAAAGCATGGTTCATGGGTTGCATATTTAAGGCCTGATTTGGAAAGAGATGAGGAGTTTACACTAGAGGAATGGCATATCACTACTTTTAAAATGATTTTTTTTTCCTGTTTCTTTAGCCTCATGTTTTTAATTAAAATTTATTATGGTATGTGTGCATTTGTGACTGCATAGGCACATGTGGAAGTTCGAAAACAATTTTCTTGTATTGGGGGGAGGAAACACTTATTCATGGCTACAATTTATAGCAGTAAAATGGTACAAATTAAAATCATTATGAATAAAACCAAGGTCTACTCATTCTTTCCTGGCAGTCACAGAGCACTTGCTTATGGGTTTACTGTAAGGAATAGTCACAACAACGGCGAAAATCAAATTGAAATGACCTCAGTATGGGAAGGTACATAGTAAATATGTAAGAGATCTTTGGTAACAGCTCCCAGTTATGTTATTAATGGGGTTGTACAAATAATTCACAATTTTGCCATTAGTAGCCTTTCCATTTGTTTTGAGACAAGGCCTTACTGAATAGATGGCCCGCATTGGCTTTGAACTCATTAGGTAGTTCAGAATGGCTCCAAACTCACAGGAATGAACATGCTTCTGCCTCCTAGGTGCTGGGGTATACTACACTGTGCCCTTCAACCTGAAATAATTTTTGACAGCATGTATAAAGTGTTGCCAGCATGGGAACTTCTCTACAACAAGGTGTCTCTAATCCTTCTGGGGTACTTTGAAGGAGATTTGTCACCATAGGCTCATGAATTCTGTGACAATGTTTAGGAAGGTTATGGAAACTTCAGGTGGTCAAACCTTACTGGAAAATCTGTCACTGCACTGAGTGCAGGACTTGGAGGTTTATAGCCATGCTCTACTTACACTATGCTCTGTCTGCTCTGGTCTGACATTGAGTTGTGATTTCTTAGCTTCCCAGTCCTGCAAAACCTCTCTGCTGTGATGGCATTTTGGAACTGTAGGGAAAATTAAAAATTCTTGAGTTGATTTTGGTAATGGTATTTTATTACAGCAATAGAAAAATAACTAAAACACTTCTCACTGTAAAAAATGACACATTGCTGAATAAAGCCATTGACATACACAAACACAGCTCTTCTATAAAGAAACAACTTGTATGCCCAAAGGTCTTTGGCATACAAAGACATAACAAGCAAATACTGTAGAGAATACTGAGTGTTTATTTGGAATGTGTAGGCATGAAATAGCCATAATGAATCAAAAGTGAGTCAGGACTTTACTGTGTACCTTGGACCTTCCCTATTTCTTAAATAATATAAGAGAGATTGGCCCAGGTTGGCTATTAGTTTTAAATTTGATTATAGAATCTTCCATCTCAATTTGAGACTGAGGGTTCTTGTGTGGTCAATGGTGAAAGCATGTTTAAGGCCCTGGGAACCATCATTACCACTTTATATAAGTCCAGCTAACAGAAATGCACACACATTCTCTCTCTCTCTCTCTCTCTCTCTCTCTCTCTCTCTCTCTCTCACACACACACACACACACACACACACACACACGTTTTTACTTGTCATCATAAGTTGTTCCATGTGCCTGGGTCTCTAGGTACATACCTGATCATGGTAGCACTTGGTTCATTTCAATTGCAATAACACATTATCCCAGTGCATTATGTTGGAATGACACAGGTCTTGTGCCTGTGCCATTCCCTTTCCCCTTTTTCTATTTGTTTCTGAATGTTACCTCATGTAGTTCTTTGTTTTCTTTTATTTTTTGCTTCTTCCTCCTCCTCCTCTTCTTCATCTGCTCCTCCTCCTTTTTTTTCTGTGCAGAGACTAGAATCTGGGACCATTCACTTAGTGGCAGGTATCTCACCATGGAGCCATATCTCTAGCCCCTGAGTTTTTACTTATTCATTTATTTATGTGTTTGATACAGGACTTTGCTGTGTAACCTTGCCTTGCCTTTGCTGAAGTCCTTTCTGCTTCTAAGTTCTGGAAGCACATGTCACCATACCTGGTTAATTTAGTTAGTATCTTTTTTAAAAAAATCATTTTTATGTGTTAATTACATCTACATAGTTGTTTCCAGCTAAAATACTTTTTAGATCTACATATTCTGTTTCCTCATGTTTACACAGGGATGTGTAGCAAACAACTGAGATTTTGTTTTATAATTTATGTTAGATTTTTCCATTCATTCTAGTAATATCACTTACTTCATCATTAGACTTTTGTACTTATCTTGTGAGTAAATCCATGTAATATTCAAAGTAACTTTAGCATTGCTATTTTCATTCACCCTTTTTTATTCCTTTTGTTGAACTGTTAGTGGAGGTTAGCTTGGGGGGGTCTATTTCATTTTATTTTGCTTCCTGTACCTCCATATTTCTCTTAGCACATTTAAATGAAATTGCTACCCTTTCCTCCTTTGTTTTGCATTTTATATCTCCTCTGCATCTGTTATTTTTCTGAGAAAGATCCTTGATATGTGGCCTTATTGGTCTGGAACTGACTGTGTTACCCAGTCTATACTTGATTGCACAAT